AACAATATCTTCAACACATCCATTAACAGCTGAAGATTTTCGGTACAGGGCCTAAAAGTCACAGCTAAATGAAGAGGACTGTTTCCTTTGGTGTTAGTGGCGTTCACATTACAGCCTGCATGCATAATAAGCTTCATGGTCTTAACACAAGAAAGCTTGCATACAAGGCGCACGTGTTTCTCTTTAATTTCGGTTTTATACCAAGTAGCCAAGTGTAAAAGTGTATTTCCATCACGAGTGCGAGGGTTTAAACGAAGAAATCTTTGCAGAAAGTCAAAAATGCCTGTGGTCTCCTTCCTTTCTGGAACTTGGACTTTGGTGTATATCATTAATAGATACAGAGCACAGTAAATCAGTTTTTCTAGTTCCTCTTTAAGCAAATTGGCTTCATGTTCCTCCAGTTTCGCTGTACTGGACATCAACTTTTCTGTTTGTCTCTCATATTCTATAACCAGTCTTTCAAACACTCCTTCTACACACTCTGATCTCAAAAGCGCTTCCTTGCGCACCATTTCGCCAAATAAGTCTGCCATCATTTCTAAATCTTCTGTGACTGACACATTACAACGTTGGCCTATCTCCATTGCATGTTCCCACAAACCAATGGCTAGTTCGTAGTTCTCTGAGTCAGCAAAAACTGCACCACGGTATCTGATTGGATGGCGAAGTTCTGTATTATCAGTTCCAAGGATTCTCTCTCTGATTATAAGACCCTCCATGTGGATGGCGTGATCATCACCTTCTAACAGAGCAAGTTCTTCAAGGGTTCGACTCTCTTTTCTATTCTGATAAACTTCAAGAGGTTCCATTTGCTTTTTAAGAAGGGGACACGATTTGTCTTGAACCCTTTCTTCCATGCCACGATTCATGTAGTAAAATGTTTTCTTAATGTCACAAACATCAGGTTCATTGGCAATAGTGGCACCGAGAAGCTCGAGTCCTTCAATTCTCTGTTCCTTTGTACATTCTGGCCTGTTTATAAAATACTCCACAATGTCAATCTTACACTTAGTACTGGCTAAAAGAAGCGGTGTTAAACGTTGAATATTTGGCAACTGGGACACCCCAAGAGCGAGCAGTTCATTGGCAATCTCAAAGTGGCCCGTTTCAACAGCATAGTGCAGGACGGTGTTGCCTTGTTTGTCTTGAAGATCCATATTTGCACCACGTTCGATAAGATGGGAGACAACGTTTATGTGGCCGTTGTAGCATGCTGTCATCAATGGGGTATGCCCAAAATTGTTACCTGCATTGACATCGGCCCCATTTTCAACCAAACAACTTACAATATCAAGGCGTCCAATGTAAGCAGCTGCCTTCAAAGGAGTCGAGTTTGTCAATGTTCTGGCGTCGACATCCGCGTTTCGCTCGATTAACAATTTAACAACATCAAGATGTCCACTCGCCGCGGCAGCCCACAAAGCTGTACAACCCTCAACAACTTGGTCGGCAACTTTTACAGTTCCTCGACCTTCGATGTCCCCATTGTATCTTAGAAGCATCTTCACAGAATCCAGGTTTCCATCGCGAGCGGCGATGATTAAGGGAGTGGTGATTTGATCGCCATGTTTCGTTTTCGTTTCTAAAGCGGTGCTTCTTTCACTGATGCTCATTCGCTGAAGAACATCACTAAGTACAACAACCGCACCATCCCGAGCAGCTTCATAAACTATAGCAACAGGATCCGTATATTCAATTTTTGATCGCTTTTCACTCATACTACTCAGAAGCTTTGTGAGAAACTTGAGGTTCTACTGAGTTAAGCTTGTTTTGTTGTGAATAATGCTCACTAAGTCGATTGTGTAAGAGACAGCTACTGAGATCACTGCGAGGTCACAACCTTCGCAAACTAGAGATAATAATTGTCAGTAAATTCAGTTGTCACGATACTGATATTTTTGTATCTATCTAAGAATAGACCAGTTACATTTTCTTTCTATCAAAATATTGCCTCTAGCTTATATGTACGCCATCTATAAGACCTACTAACTGGTCGTTACAGTGTGAATTATGAGATGTTCTGATGTCTGGATGCAAAGGCCGCGCGTTTAATTTAAACAATCGCCTTCTTTCCTCTGTCAAGTAACGCACGATTCCTTCCGGCAATCCTTGGTATTTTATCTCATCCGGCTTTTCTGGGGAAAACAGGAAGTTGCATGGAAGTGAGGCCTGGCGCGAGCGGGTACTTTCAATTTACCGAAAGCTCCACGTTGTTCAACATTTAGAACAGTTTGTCTTACGTTTCGGGAACAAGGTATGCAAAAATCACGAAAGGAAATTTCGAATGGAATTTGGCCTGTTCCATTTACACGTGATGTACTCGAAACGCCTGGAAATGCCAGAATGAGCTGAGTAGCCAGGTATCAGGATTGAAACTGACAGAATGCAGGGAAAGCTTAAAGGTACATAAAGTCCACTGGAGACAAATAGTAAACCAATCTAGTCCCAGAACCCACGCGTTTCGCGCAGTGGTGAAAATCCTGGTTCCGGTTTGATTCTGCGAATGGGTCTTAGTTCAACAATAGTTTCATTACAAACGTAAAGAGAGTAACCGCTGTGATTAGTGACCTGTGGGAACAAGATTGATTGTTCACAGCATTTCCACTCGGATACACCAGTTGATAACTTTACACTATCTTTCTAGACATTCCATTTATTTTAAAAACCGTTTACGGTCGGGCAGACTAAAACTTAAAGGTATTTGTGAATGGTAACCCGCGCCGGGGAACTAAAGCAATTTTTTTCTGCTAACGGTAAAGTCCGTCCACTCATAACCTCAAAAAGAACCAAACTTACCTCTTGAAAATTTGCCCGTCTCTTCCTAGCGCTCTAACTGAACGGAAAAAGCCCTTGTTAGTAATGATCGGCAGACACGTTCTTGATACACCAATGTTTATTGGCAATGAATAAACAATAACCTCCATTTAGCGCAAAAATATGCTCCGACATTTTTCCAAGGACATTATCAGTTCCGAGAAGCGAACAGATGTCCGAGAGCCGTAGTTCGAATAAACTGTGAGCTTTGAGGAACAGATAATGACCAAGGACAAATATCCGAGCATATTTTCGCGCCAAATGGAAGCTATTGTGCATGTTTGCTAGCCGTCAATTATTTTTCTCAACACGAGCCGTTTTGAATCTTGGGGAAATGCCACTCGGATATTCCTCAGTTTTATCTGGGGAATATCC